ATGGCTACAACGCGACGCTTGGCTTTTTTACCTGCCCAACGGGCTGTCCATTTGCATTTTAAGGCCATACCGTATCTCCCTGGACAAAGTATTTGAACAGATTTACACTTTTATCTCTTCACTTCCTTTTTGGATATTTCTTACTGGCAACATCTCTACCTCAAAGGTGACATTTTGCATTTTTACGACACGAGACAATTGCCAAACTTTTGTCTTACTTTTTTCGTCACTCGCGCACACTTCGTTAGTCTATTTTACGATTTTTTTTCATATATAAGTATTATTATTTCTTACAGTTACCTGGCCGAATGTAAACCCTTAAAAATACTCGTATCAAAAAATAAACTTAAAGTTTTACTAAAGTATATATTAAAACTAAAAGTGTTTGCGTGTGTCTATCACTTGTCCACCCTTAAGGAAATAATTATTTTTTTAAACATTGATAATAACGAAAAACATTTTTCTTGGTGTTTTCCATTTATTTATGTGTTTAACTCGATGCAACCTGTGTCTTTAGACTTATTTATATATGCATATCTTAATTAGAAAAGGAATATTTAACTTTGTATTATTAACTGTTTTTAAAGTGTTTGTTATTGAGACCGAGGACATGTTGGTATAAAAAAAAACCCTTACGTTTGAATTTTTAAACTTTTGTCAAAGATAAGTTTTTAAAAAGTTAAAAAAAGAGGGAATACATATTTTTAAAATATTTAATTTATATTTTATATTGTCAACTCTTATATATTTTCTTCCTTTCATAGATATATTTTTCGTTAGATCGATTTGACTACATTCCAAAATCGATCAATCAAAAAGTAGAGATCTGTATATTTATTGAAAAGATGTACAAATAATAATAATAATAAACGAAAATATATATTATTATATATTTATTTTTCATTTAAATATATCAAATTATTTGATTTTCCTTTTGTATTTTTTGTTGATTGAATAACATCATCAACGATATAGCGATATTAATTACTTATTTTATTTACTTGCTATTATTTTTTCCTCGTATCTAACGAAATTCTTTCTCAACTGATTTGAACTTCAAAGGAAGGAAGCAATTATTACACAATTTAAAATTGATTCTTAAATTGATTGTTTATTCAGTTTGTTTACATTCTTTCAAAACGTAAAGAGTCGGTGGTGTCGCTGTAATGTCCTCACAAAAAAGTGTCACTCGTTTTTAGACACACCCACCCCAGAGTTTAACCACCCAACAACAAAATGTACCTATTTTCCTAGTAATCTCTTTACACTTTCAAATCAAATTCTAACTTGAGTACACATTAACAATAACTAAAACGAATTAAAACTTTTTTTACAAATTAATATCTTTTATATTTTATTAATGAATCTTATCCCGATTCTTAATTTTAATTAGAATCGTAATATTTTCACATGAGCAGACCGGTACTTTTATTTAACCCCTAAATTAAAAAAAAATCTTTTGAAAATTTATTAAAGTTATTTAAGGATTTTTAAATTGTATATTTCATATTTTTACTAGTCTAAAATGTCAATTTATCAAGTAATACTTACAACGAAAGGTTTTATTTTGTAATAATTTAAATACAAGTCTTCAAAATTTAATTTATTTTTCTTATTTTACTAGCGCTCTAATCATTCCCCCTTCGTACATCTCCAATTGTTGGAAGATGGTGAATTTAACTTGGAATTGGCATCATAGACTTGTAGTAAACTGTTTGCGAGTACCTTCCGTATTTTAAGAAGCAATTGGGGGTGAATCCACGCACCCTGATGTTGAAGCAGCCCTGCTCTACTTACTGCCTACCATTGACATTCTCAGCATCCACCCTTTTTCTTGGGTATAGTTGGAATATAGCTTAAAAGAAGAAAGCCTGTTCAATAGAAGAGTTTTTTTTCAACGATATTCAGAGGAAGAAGAATAACAAAAAGAAAACAATTCGTTTCTTTTTTAAACATTTCATTTAGAAATGTTTACATTGACTTCAAAATGTGGAACTGAGAATCCTTGGCCTCTTCTTATCACTGAAGAAGATTATTATTACAAAGGAACTGAGAAGAAAAGGAAAGAAACCATTCTTGTTTCTGCTGATGTAACCAAATGAAAGTCACCGTCTGTTTTGAAAATGTCCGAGTTATTGTCCCATGTGGGGACGGAGACTTACTGGTTAAGGAACTTATTGATAAGGCTATCATCAGATACAAAAAAGCGGTTGGAAAGGTAAGTTGCATTTTTATCTTAGTTCCTTTAGTAATTTTAATCCTTTTTTTCATGTTGACTCGTCGTAAGCATAATGAGGTTAGTTACCTACTTGCTTTTAAGTCTGGGACACAACTTAATTTTTTTATATTTTTTTTCTGTGATCTTCTATTGAACCAACTATTGGTAAAAAATCTTACTTTCGCTGAATCTGTTTTAAATCTTCCCAACCCTAAACAAAGAAGGAGCATACGTTGTGAATAGAGATGTTACTCCTTTTTTTGTAAGTAGGCATAGGGTACCTAAGAAGAAGAATCCTTTATTTTTATTTTTCTTCTGTGGCCGTTGAAACAAGAAAGTAAATCAATAAAAAATGATTCTCATGCAATATACAATTCAATACAATCTTATTAATTTTTTTTTTTTCGTTTCGATCGCAGATTTTCTTATTCTTTTCTTCATACTGTTTTTACTTGTAGGTCAGTTTTCGTTCAGGTTTTTGTTCTAATTTGTACAATAGTTGTGAACTTGTGACTCTTCAAATTTTCTTTCCTTAATACACATGAAGAATCGATTGTTTTGTAAACTCTAGTTTTGTTTCAAATTGTTTGTTTTTGAGACCCTTGCCCTTGGTGGTGACTACATCTTTCTGTTGCTAAAAAAAATCAAAGTAAATTTGTTTCTGATGATGAATAATTGAATATGATATTGAAATGCATGGCATGGGTAATGGTTTTACTTTTACTTTTCTAATATATAAATTTCATGAGTTATTTTATTTTTTTTATTTTTAAATATTTTAGATTTTATTGTTGACCGTTTCTGTCCTGTGATTAAAAAGCAGTCAAATACATTTTGTTTTGACTTTTACTTCCTTTCTGTATCAAAATCTCGTGTTGTATGTTGATTTTAATTTTAATTTATCAACAACATCGCCCACCTACCTTGGTCCTTGTACGTGAAGGATTGATTTTTTTTTTTTTTTTTTTATTGGGAAGCAGAAGCATCAATGCTGGTTGATAATGGGTGTGACAGTGTGTATTATTCAATTCGGTATAAGGTTTTTTGTTTTTTTTTTTTTTTTTTTTTGACACCAACAAGTGAAAGAATGTTGTGTGCCGCATAAACTATCGCTAAAAAGCTAAATACATTTTTTTATCTTACAAATTCATGAAGCAAGCAAAACCTGTTTGCTATTTATTTAATTTTTTTAGTCAAAATAACACAGCATTTTTTGCAGAAACATAAAAATTGAGTCAGTCCTTGATGCTTCACTGAAAAATTGCAGTTGTTGAACCACAATTGCTTTTCAATTTTCATTGAAAATGAGGAACTATTGACTTTGACAAAATAATCCTTAAAACTAGTCATAAATATTTATAGCTAGATTTCTGTCCTTCTCTAGAGTTTTTAACATAATTTTTTATGAACCAAGTATAGCTTCTGTTTTAAATTTAAAAAAAAAAAATCTATATTGTTACAAGTGTACAAATTGATGCTTTCTGGTTTGAAATCACAACCAAAAAATAACTAGTAAGTACTTGAACTTGATATTTTCCTGTAGCTGTAAGTACTTGTTGGTATTTTGTCTGATCCACTTCATGACTTGTAACAACAATTATTGTTCAGTCCACTTGTCAAACTCTTGTAGTTTAAAATTGTCCATTTATATTGTTGGAGTTGTGCCAATTCTCTTTCCCATTTAGTATCATTATTATTAAATTTTCTTAAGAATCACTTTGGTGACACTTGTACAACAAAGAGTAATCTTTTTATTTTTCCCTACATTCATTCGATCAAAATAAGTCATAGATTCCCTTTTACTGTCACTTCTCAATTAAACGTGTATATTTCTCTGGTCGGTTATTTGATTCATTTAGTCGTAAATAATAAAAAGTTATATATTGTATAAATTTCTGTTAGTTATCATTTAGTCATTAGTTTTTCACAGTTAATTACACTTGTGAATGAGAATGTATCATGTTCATCTAAAATTTTTAAATACAAACCAAAAAAGTTTTTTTCTTTTTTTGTGTTTGGCGGTGGAGGGAAATTAATTAAGGTTACTTATCTCCGGAAAAAAAAGAACATCTTTGTAATATTCTTGTTTAAAAAATGCATGCAAATATTTTAAATTTAACATGAAAAAATTTAGAGAAGATTAATTAATTTTAGTTTGGCATGTTTAAATGCTCTAAATAATTTGAGATTACTACAGTATACATTTTCTGTCAGTAGATGAAGTGATTCTCTATGGGAGGTACTTAAAACTTAATGAAAGTGAGATCACAGCAGTAGCAACTTGCTTATTGCTTTGGGTGTATAATTAAAAAGTTTGTCTCTTTGAGATCGAAATAGGGAGTTCTAGTTCGGATTTGATATTGTGAGGTTTGAAAATGACTTTTGTTTGAAGTATACAATTACTATGTGATTTTATCATATGATAGAAACTTGTAAGGATTACTGAGGGTGACATGTTTTTATGCTCTAAGTAATTTAGGGGGAAATGCATTGTTTAAACTTAATGGATAGCCGTTTCCTTAAGGAAACATTTGGCATTCAGTCCATTCATTGACCAAGTAGCCAGTATTACTGTCGGTTGAAATTTACAAAATCTTTCTCTTAAAATATTTTTTTTATGAAAATATGAATAATAAATGCATTTTTTCAGTCACTTTCTTATTGTAGAATACTTTTTTTTCTTTAGGTATGAAATAATTTATAATTTTGTTTATACTTTCATTCTTGTTGACATCTGTTCTGCAGATTTTTTTGCCAAATGCGCTTAACCAGTATTTATTTATTTTTTTTGCTAAATCTGTTACTTGACTTCAAAGCTGCTTATTGTGTTATATAAGTTGAAATAACTATAGTTTTTTTGTTACTTTCAAGAAAGCAAATAGTGGATTTTTCCTCTTGTTTATTTAAGTAGTGTTTAAATGCTGGCACTGAATCAGTGCAGGTTATGTCATTTAGTGCACACCTTTCTTTGGAATGTGTTGATTTGTCCCACTTAATAAATATAAAACAAATCTTTGCTCATTGTAAAAATATATTCTAAATTATCTAATTAGCAAAAAAAAATTAGATTTCATTGAAAATTAAAATATAACTATTTTGTCACTTTTAAAGCAGCTTCCTTCTGATTGATGGCAATTGGTTCTAAGAAAGAAGTCAATTTCAACAAGTTTCTTAGAAAGTCATTTGCATAACAAATGATGTGCTCTTTACTTTCAGAATTTAATCCAAAAGCTTTTTCTGTCAGTGCTTTGACTTTTTAAATGTTATAAATATGAAGATGTTTTTTAACTGAAGTATTTTTATTTAAAGTTCAATCTTTATAACTGAAGTAACAATGACAAATTATGGTCTGATTGTAGGCTTTAAAATAGTAACTTGTATTACTACAGTGTGATTACTTAAATAAATTCTACAAGGTTAATTTCAATGTAACATAATTTCTGGATTTCACTTATAAATTAATTGAATAAAATGTTTTTTTTGTTTGTTTTTTTTTTTTCACTCTTGTTCTAATAATCTCTCTAGGCTAGAGACTACAATTGAATGAAGAGGTACCAGCAAAGATATTTTATCTTGTGTATTAAATTTATCTGAAATTCTGACATGAAATATTTTTATTCCTCCATAAATTATTATCCTTATCTTACTCTTTAAATGTTTTGGTTTGGATGATGTGTTATTTGGCCTTTCTTATAATTCTTAAGCATTGTCTTGTGTGTGTATATTTTCCTTGCTGACAATGGAAAAACAAAAGCGAATTAGGTGAATTTCAAAGCATGTTTATCTAGAATGCTGACGAGTACATTGAAATTTGATAACAAATATGAAAATGCTTGCTCGAATAACTTATGCAACATAGAGAAAGTAGGAAATATAGCATAATAAAATTATAAGGAATAATATTGGAAATTTTCAAATTAACTTTTAGCACTCTGAATTATTAATATTACTTCCCTTTCCACTGCATTCTTTTTCAAGTCCTCTCAATTGCAATATCCCTATTGTTAATTTCATTCAAAAGTTATTTTCTGTTGCCATAGCAGAATATGGCAACTATGAAATTCAAATTCAGAGACCAGAGTCACCTTCAATGGCAGGATAAACTTTTTGCACAGCACATGAAGTCACATAGTGATAAAGGTGAAAAGAGAAAAGTTTTTGTTTGCTTCTTTGGACAAAATGTCTTGCCAATGATAATATTTGTGATTGTTTTTAAAACATAATTTGATTGTGCATTGTACAGTTCTCTGACTCTGCAAATCCTTTGCCTTAACTCAAGGATGACCTTTCATGTCATTTTGATATTCAGGAGATTAACTGTGTATAAAACCCAGTGTTCTTTTTATCAAATAACTCTGTTTAGGAACTGGTAGCCATACATCAGATTTCCTGTAATGATGTTTTTTTTTTCTGTATGATTATTTATATAGAAAGCTAAAATAAATCTGAATGACCTCTTATTTTCTATTGTTCTATTTCTTCATTTCCAAGTAATGTCAATTAGCTTTTAGTTTAAACGTTTTTAACTTGTTTTAAAATTTTACTTGTTCAACTGTCATTTCATGTTCTTTTACTTTTAGTTTTATTATTATCATGAATGCATTTTGAAGTACCTGCTGTTGACAGATGATGATTAACAAGTTGATCTCACAAACCTTTGATAATTTCCACCCTTACTGGTTGCTCTATTTCTTTGCCTTGTGTCAGGCAATGTTTAGAAAATATCTACATGTCTGATATTTGTATTGCTCTTGTAAATCTATCTGGTTAGCCTACTTTGAGTGAAGTTAATATTGAGTTTAAATGCCAGGTTGTAATTGTGCCAACTGCTTAAATGTTTTGCGTCGATGTTATTCCCAGACTGCTTTGAGAGAAAGAACATTGTGACATTATTGTTGATACTGTCCTTATTTTATAAGTCATTATCAACACTTATATTCTTATTTATCTGATTTAACATTATTATACAAATGTTTTTCTTCATGAAGATGTTTTGTTAT